ATCCATTAATCTTTTGCTAATGTAGATATTAGCACAAAATCCGATAACCCTAAAATTTAACTCTAGCAAAGCAGAAGCAAATTGAAATCAAACCATTAAAATTCCTCCGAGAAGAAACATATACACAAAATCAGCTCTTCGACCACGAAACGAGCCCTCTTCCAACATCATGCAATACCGATATGTAAATATCATATTGAAGAGGAAGCTAAAGCCAAAAGATCCAAAGAAGCAGAACGATGTGATCAACCGCCAGAACTGAAACAGATTAATAAACTGTACTTGCATTAGAAGCAGCATTTTCAGGTGTTACACCTTCACTTTTTCACGCAATATTACCATCACTCTAGTCAAGATACTACATTACGAGTTTAGCTACGCACGATACTGTCACAAAAAATCCCTCTGGGTAAGTTATTCGGTACCACACCTGTTCAAGGGGATAAAATCACTGAATATTATAACGGCTGGCCCCGCAAATTACATAGGCCGAATCGCACTCAAAATGCCGCTAATTGCGAATGAAAGTAAAATGTCTGACGCATCCATGTGAATGGGTGTGTAGTATGGGTGACAATGCACGAAGCCCACATTAGCTAGCACTCGCCCACCGCCTCGCACATACTACTGAACGTCTCTCATTGCCTTAGCACAGCTGCACTAGGAAGGTGAGCAAGCCCCTTGAGCGTTTTCAACAAATTCTTTTTTCTTTTCTCTTTACTGCGGGCCCACTCCGCACCAGTACTTTCGCATTCGACAGCAAGAACCGCAGCAGTTTTATCTTGGGGCATGTGTTTAGGTGAGTGTAGGAGTAGCCGCGCACCGAGTTAAGTGAAAGTTGTCACTAAACTTCGAATTTCGGTTACGAGGCGGCCCGGAGACCAGGAGTAAGGGAGCAGAAGTTGGAGAAGGATGGGAGGTTAAACAATACTAGAGGGTGGAGCGCTCACCGAGGGAGCTGGGGTTTCTCACGGAGCCTTATAATTTGTTTCTCAGATGACGCGGAATTCGCAAAAAATTGTTGGAAACTGCGGAAAAAGGGAGGTTAAACGTCGATGGTGGGCAGAAGTTGCACGGAACTGGTCGAATCCAAATTCGAGAATTTGAATTGCTCTATCAT